AGAAGTAGAGGTGGCAAATTGATTGATCCATGGATTGGTGGATTGGATTGGTGGATCCATGGATCAAATGGATTGGATCCAATGGATTGGTGGATTCATGGATTGGATCAAGTGGATTGGTGGATTATCCATGAATCCAAATGACATTCTCAACCAAGTACCAATATGTAAAATGTGAAAAGTTTAGGTACTAAAATAGCATAATGAAAAATTTTAGGTACCAAAATGTAATTTTTCAATGATATTTTTCGTATAGAAAATTAAATTTTGGGTACAAAATGTAAAATATAAAAAGTATAGGTACCAAACTGTAATTTTTCATCTGGATCAAATGAATTGGATTTAAATGGATTGGATTAGGTGGATATTTTTAATGGGTTTGGATTGGATTGAGAATTGCCACCTCCAATTAGAAGAAGGTGAAGAAGCCTATCCCACTATCAAAAGAAGAGCATGCACAAATAGACTTATCTAAGATCTTATATTAGGAAATTTGATTGTTTCAACTTTCAACCCATCAGTTACTATATATAGATGAATATATAGTTATTACAAATTGGTCAGAATACTTAGAACTTTAAACTTTAATATTAACGATAAATGCGGGTGGGTTGGGTCGGGTTGGACGGGTGGGTCGGTTTGCGAGTTGTTTTGTTCACCCCTAGTTGAGATAGGTTGGAGCTCATACATGTACATCTGATGGCCAGATCATCTGGAGCATATTATGTTCCTGAAGCATACGAGTCGTCTCCATATATATATTTTTTATGAAATTTATATTTTATACGAGTTGTCTCCCAAACGAAGGTGGTACTAGGTGCTAACGAGTGGTATGAATTTTTTGGTCAAATATATTGAAAATGAATCACACTTTGAAGATCACAACGAACTCGTTTCATCTGTGCAAATTTTTTTCGAAATGTAAGCTAGAACAAAGAAGATGAGAGTCGATTAAGAAAACTAGGAAAACTAAAAAGCCATTTAATCTCACCTTTTATATCTAGGTCCATTTTGTCCCACTCAAAACTAAGGATTCATATTTAGTTGGTAATATACACTTGTATAGCCAAAACTTTCTCCTTTGTGCCAATAATAGTCAAATTTGGAGAAATACCACTCACAGCTACTTCCATCCGATACTTTAACGATGTTATCTAACAGGGTGACTATACTAACAACTACTGTTGACGTGACATATTTTATTCAGAAATAATGACAAATAGAAAATCATTAAAATTTTATCCTTTAATTTTAATTAAATAAAATATAAAATATAAAAAACAATAATGTCAGTACTATCACCGCCTATTCACCTTCCCATCTTCTCTGATTTCAACTTTCTCCCTCTCTCAGCCTTCTATCTCACCGGAAGGAAGCTTCGTCCTCCGTTTCCCACCGCCTATCGGAACTCGAAATTGTTATAAGTTCCCAATCAAATTCATTGGAGGAGGACGACCATCGACGATCGATCTGGTGTTTCATCCGTTTCGATAAATCCGATCAAAACCTGCTTTTCTGCTTCTCGGTGGCTCTGCTACCTTCCTCTCTCACGCCGCTGCCGTCTCCCGCTCTTCTTGCTTGATGCTCGGCTCTCTCCCTATCTCTTCCAACTCAACTTCCTTCCTTTCTATTTGTATCCGGAGTCGTTGACTGCTGCTCTACGACAGATCTCGCCTTCAAGAGCTGGGAACATCCTAGGGGAGAAGCAGAGCTGGCGCGAGATTTGGATCCGTGCAGACTCTGAAATTGATCTGCTTGGAGCGAATGATTCCGAGCAAGCCATTCCCTGCCTTCATCTCTGGTCACTTTCCCCATTGCGAGGGGCCACTCAACCATCGTCTTAATCGCTTTGGAGGAGATAGACATCGGGTTGAGGTGTTTGTTCTGGAAGATCCTCCTGTTTCGCTCGAGCCACACCTGCCAGAAAATGGCATGGAGAGCACCATAGTTGATCTAACCATCAAAGTTATCTGGCGTGTCAGACTTCCATCTGTTGATCGAAGATTGAACATCGGCTGCGGGTGACTCAATAATCGGGCATATCTCTTGGCTTCTCCTCCAAACCTCCTTGTTGAACTCACAATTAATGAATTTATGAACTGACGTCTCTTTCTCTATTTTGCAAAGTTCGCATCTGTTGGCCAGATGCCGACCTCTTATCTTGATGATGTCGAGGGTGAGGTTCTTCTCGAGATAGGCCAGCCAAATGAAGGTGTAGATCTTCGAAGGTATGATCATCTTCCAAATGGTCTTGGCGGGGAAGTTATTGATGCCCGAAACCTGGTCTTTCGTTGATGCCCTGTACATGGAACGCACGGAAAAAGAAAGGTCCGCTCAAGGAAGCCAAACCAGTCTGCTAGGACCGCTGGACACCCTTGAAACGACGTTAGTTTCAAGAAAATTAAGCAGATCGACCCACTCTGCTCAGCCCCCCCCCCCCCCCCCCCCCCCCCCCCCCCCCCCCCCCCCTCTCAAAGAAAGGTTTAAAGGAATCACCCACTCACACTCACTACCTGAATGAACTCTGCTGCCGGATACCGTTTCATCAGGAGCACTGGTGGCGCCGGCGATGCGAGGGAAGGAATCAGACAGAGAGGCTTCAGGGATTCATCGATCGTGCCAGAACGAAGTCCAAGCTCCGTCACCGGGGTCGATGCAAGCTAAATTCCACAATCTGATGTGCTCTTTCATAATGTTAGCCCACGCCGAATTGGCATAACCGCCATCGATTTTTCCAGTATGCCAACACGAGTGGGGGTTCGGGTATTTAATATTAATGAGTTCTCTCCACCAGCTACTGATCTTCGTAGCAAAGCGCCAGTGCCATTTGGAGAGCATAGCGCTGTTGAAACTCGACAGGTCAAAGATACCCAGCCCGCCTCTGGATTTAGGAGCCTTACACAGATCCCAATTAACCAAGGGACTCTTTATCTCGTCAGCAGTCCCGCTCCATATAAACCTTCTTTGGATGCCCTCCATTGTTTTAATGACAGTCTTCGGTGCTTTGAGGATTGAAAAGTAGTAAACGGACTGGCTCGACAACACGGCTTGATTCAGTACGCCTGTCGCCCATGGATAAAAACCAACTTTTCCAACCTTGTAGCCTGTCCCTGTACTTCTGAATGATGGGGTCCCATGTAGAAACAGCGTTCAATCTAGCCCCAAGTGGGAAGCCAAGATACTTAGATGGCTGGTCACTCCATCTGCATCCGAAAAGCGAGGCAAAATAATCCGGGTTTGGAACATTCCCCACGGTGAACATCACAGATTTCTCAAGGTTGATTCTGAGACCTGTAACCGCCTCGAAGCAAACGAGTGTGGAGAGCACGTTCCAGACATGTTCGTATGAAGCTTTGCAGAAGATCAGAGTATCGTCGGCGAAGGGGAGATGAGTAACTTCTCCGTGTCCACCTTGTTCATCCATGGAAAACCCTTTAATACTTCCGTTCTCTTTAAGCTTATTGATCATAAAATCCAGGACGTCCATAACCAGAGAGAAGATCCTGAAGAGAGAGGGTCGCCTTGTCAGAGCCCTTTGTGCATAGGAAAGAATCCGTGAGATTCCCCATTGACGAGAATAGAAATATGGAGAGAGCACATCGTACCCCGAATCTAACTATTCCATTGCTAAGGGAACCCAAGCTTGGAAATGACCTTGAACAAGCAATCCCGGCTCAAGTTATCAAACGCTTTTTCGATGTCCAGCTTAAGCATAAAACCCGGTTTTTTGCTCTTCTTTCGGCTGTCGATGAGCTCGAAGGCGATGAGACCGGCATCACCAATCTGCCTCCCTTTAACCGAGGCCTGTTGATTCCAGGAAACAAAGTTGGGGAGGACATCCCGCATTCTACTGGCGAGAACCCTACTGAAAAGCTTGTTAATGCAGCCCATCAGGCTAATCGGGCGCAAATCTTTCCTGTCTTCGACAACATCTTTTTTGGGCAGCAGGCAAAGGAAAGAATGAGTGGCGCTTTGGGGAAGGACGCTTGTGCTGTGGAATTCGTTGAAAGCGTTTATAATGTCATTCTTCACCCAAGTACAACATTGCTTGAAAAACTCCCAGGTGAACCCATCGGGCCCTGGTGCCTTACTGTCGTCGCTCGCCGAAAGGCAAACCCAGATTTCCTGTTCACTGAACTGACGGTTGAGGAGCTGACAATCGCTGTCTGCTAGGCGACGCTCAACATAATGGCTGGGGAAAGGCTGATTAGGTGATTCTTCGAGAAAAAGATTCCTATAATGATTAACAATACCCGCCGCCACATCCTGTCTTCCTTCGACCATCACTCCACTGATTATGATACAATCAATTCTGTTGATCTTCCTCATGAAGTTGGCCACCCTGTGAAAAAAGTTGTTGCTTTTGTCACCAAGTTTGAGCCAGCACTCGCGGGATTTCTGTCTCCAAGAGATCTCGAGCAGATTAAGGCGCCTTCCCAACTCGATCTTGGAAAGGTCTCTGGTTGCTCTCGTGTGGTCGTCAAGGGGGTGAGACTCTTCTAATTTGTCGATATCCAAAATCTTAGCAATGAGCTCATTGATCTTGACATTGACATCTCCAAACACTTCCTTATTCCAAAGCTTGATTCTGCTCTTGAGGTGATGAAGTCAGCGTGCCGAGATGAAGATCATCCCCTGACCTTGAATCGGATCCTGAAACCACTAGTTCATCCCCTCGAAGAACCTGTCATCTTCGAGCCACATGTTCTCGAACCTCCAAGGTCGTTTGATGCGAGAGTGGCAACCCCAGTTGAGCATGAGAGGGTTGTGATCGGATTCAATTCTCTCAAGGGCGATTAGATAGCAATCCGGGTAGATGGATTCGAAGTCAGCAGAGATGAAGGCGCAGTCTATACGCGAAAAGCACTCACTGGATCCTCCCCTGCTCCACGTGAAACGGCTGCCACCCAGAGGCATCTCCAAAAGGCCGTTACTATCCACAAAATTATTGAAAGCCGCCATAATGCACACATCTCGCTGAGCACCCTTGTAATCATCATGGGAATGAACCATATTGAAGTCCCCCATAATGCAAGCTGGGGAGGTGGTCTGCTGGCATGGATTGTTCAATTTGTCAAGGAAGGCAAGCTTGTCGATCCTGTTCTGAGGACCATAAACCACCACCAGAGTCCAATCCTTGTTGGACTTAATGTCGACTAAATCCACTGCGAGGAAGTACGTGCCCGTTGAGCTGTTAGTGGCCCTGAAGTGGTTCTGATCCCAATATATGGCGATTCCCCCCGAACTGTTGTTGGCATTCTTGGCGATATCGCATTGGTCCCACTTTGTTTCGATCAATCCGACTACTTTAGGTTTACGCATGTTGATGATGCGCTTAATTCTACCCCGCTTGCTGCCCTCGCCGAGACCTCTGACGTTCCACACAATGATGGAGGCCTCCATTACTCTTCAAGGTAATTGGAATTACTTCCCCCCGCCTCTTGTTGTGTCGTGGCTCGAGATTCTCTGGAATCGATGGGCCGAGGCGGTACCTTTCCATCTTGAGCTTGGTCCTGTTGCTATGCACTTTCCTTCGATGAGTATCCCTGGCTTTATCAGCTACCAAACTGGCTATATGGCTTTCTCCCTCATCATGATCCAAGGAGAACAGATTGGGTATATGGGTTCCTGATGGTTGTGGGTGGGCTTGGTCACTGGGGCTAAGAACAACTAGATGACCATAAAGCAGAACCTGTTAGAAGAAGACCTCAACGGAACATAGTCTTGCCTGCAAGGTTGAAAGATTGCTATCTGGGAATAGTGACCAAATATCCCATGACAGATGTAGTTGGATATGAACTACTTACTGAAGACAGCAAGAACTATGCAGTAAATATGGTAACTATGGTAGAACCAACTTCCTTTGAGGATGCTAATGAAGAAGAGTGTTGGAGAAAAGCTATGCAGGAAGAACTTGCAGCACTCATTGAAAATCAAACCTGGGAACTAGTGAAGTTGCCAGCAGGAAAGAAAGCAATAGGATGCAAATGGGTCTACAAAATTAAGCTGAAGCTAGATGGTAGTGTTGAAAGGTTTAAAGCCATGCTAGTAGCAAAAGGGTTTACACAAGTTTATGGGGTTTATTTCTTGGACACATTTTCTCCTGTTGCCAAGAACAATTCTGTCAAAACATTGCTAGCAGTAGCAGCAGCAAAAGACTGGCATTTGCATCAGTTGGATGTTTCCAATGCATTTCTGCATGGAGACTTGGAAGAAGATGTTTACATGCAACTGCCACAAGGTTTTCCTATAGAGAACAGTTCACAAGAGACTTGTAGGCAGGCTGCATTACTTGACAGTAACCAGACCTGACATTGCTTTTCCAGTTCAGCAATTGTGTCAATACCAAAGGGAACCAAGGAATACACACTTACAGGTAGCTTATAGAGTAATCAGGTACTTGAAAGGAGCACCAGGTCAAGGGTTACATTTTAAGGCTAATTCAGATTTGGTTTTAAAAGCTTATAGTGATGCTGATTGGGCAGCATGCCCTGACACTAGAAGGTCAATCTCAGGTTATTGTACTTTTCTAGGGAGCTCCTTGGTAACATGGAAAGCAAAGAAACAGACCACTGTGTTCAGGTCTTCTTCAGAAGCTGAATACAGGGCACTTGCTCATCTGGTTTGTGAGATTCAGTGGCTTAAAGGACTACTTGCAAAGTTGGATGTTAAGGTACAGACTCCGGTACTTGTTTATTGTGATAACATGTCTGCAATTCAAATTGCAGAGAACCCAATGTATCATGAAAGGACTAAACACATTGAAATAGATGTCCATGTTACCAGGGAAAGAGTGAAATCTGGTCTTAATAAGCTAAAGTTTGTTAGAAGTGAAGAACAACTAGCTGAACTATTTACTAAGGGATTGAGCAGGTATAGGTTAAGCTATTTGCTTGACAAGTTGGATGTATTAAATGTATATGCGCCAACTTGTGGAGGCGTGATAAGATCCAAGGGGTTGATTGATCTGAATGCACAGGAACAAGCTGTCGAGAACACTAAAGGAAAGGAGAAGATTGAAGTTCATATGCTTGAAGAACTCTGGAGCTGAAGAGAGTTTCGAAGAAGAAGAAGAAGAAGAAGAAGAAGAAGAAGAAGAAGAAGAAGAAGGAAACGTTTCATTTTATCTGTCTGTCTTTCATTCATTTACGTTGTCGTTTAATGTAGTGGAGTTAGTTTATGTTGGACGAATGGCAAGCCACCACGTCAGTTTTACCGTTGTGTAAACAGTAACTTTTGAACGTCTTTAAATAGAGAAACCCAGCTGAGGATTCCCCACTTTCTTTTTCCTCCTTTCTTTTTCTTACAAACCTTCCTAAGGAAGTTTACAATTGACGAGCTTCAGCGGGTAGATGAAGAGGCTCGACTGAGGACGGTGTAAGAATGCCATGGAATATGCTTCCGGGGATGGCGTAGTTGACGATGATAAGGATGCGCAAGTGTTGATTTAGATTTAGGGTTTGGTTGAGAATTTTGGGATAAGAGTGGATTTATTTAATTTGTTGATTTTAATTTTAATTGAATTAAAAAATTAAAATAATATTATTTAATGATGTGGCATGCCACATCAGCTATTTTTTACTGAGCACTAACATAATAGTGTTTGACTATCAATATTAATGGTCAAAGAAAATTAGAGGCCAAATTTATCCAATCATTTCAAAAGTAGGCCATAAATGTCTTGTTTAAAAAATGAGGTCAGAACTCTCACTTATGGGGAGCGGTTACGATGATCATGGTTGCTAAGGGTAAATTGGGTATGGAAAATATATTGGACTAATTAATTTTTATAATAAATTATATTTTAGGTAGTTATATAAATCTATTAATTACAGTTTTCTTTTTTTCTCTCACTTTCGTAATCTCCAGCCAGATCTCCTTTCCCTATTTTCCTCAATCTTTCTTCAAAGTAAAAAAAAAACACGAAATCACTACCAATCCATTAGACAACCACTACCACTTTGAAAAATATCAATACCATTGCAGAAATAAATCTATACCATTACACAAAAACTACTAATATAAAAAATCTATACCATTACAAAAGTCAAACAAATACCAAAACAACCACTGTAAAAAACAATAATACCCTGCAAAAATAAAACTAGAAATAAATATCAATTTATTGGACAACCACTACCACTTTGAAAAACACCAGTACCATTGCAGAAATAAATCAATATCATTATAAAAAATAATAATACCACTACTATTGTGAAATCAAAACAATACCATTACAGAAATAAATCAGTATCATTATGAAAAATAAACTATACGTACCATTTCATATAAACCAAAGCAAATGAACGAGTACCATTTTGGGCTTTCTTCTTCTTCTGATGACGATGTTGGCCAGATGAGTAACCTTGCCCAACCTTCTCCATATAGAGATAGATAGATAGATAGATAGATAGATAGATAGATAGAGAGAGAGAGAGAGAGAGAGAGAGAGAGAGAGAATTCTACCTTGTCCGACGGTCCTTTCTTCCAAATCTTCCAATTTCGCCCATCTTCCTTTTCCGCCATGGAATTGGAGTCGGATTTAGCGGTGAAGGCAAAGGGAGAGGTGACGGGGACGACGGCGGAACATGGCAGAGAGAGGGAGAGAGATGGGAGGCGAGATAGAGATGGAGATTTGGGAGCGCCGGCGACTGTGAAGGCGGGGAAGAAACTAGATAATAGGGTTTTGATAAAATATATAGAATTTTTTTTGTTAAGAATTGTAATTAGGTATGGTATAATTTTTGTTCCAAAATTATCCTTAATCTAATCCTGATTTTCTATTTAAAAATGAGATGAAATAGAGTTAATAAAGGGTGTGGATTTTGGTAGCCATGATGACTACTAAAAAATTTGTAATCACCCTAACCCATTCCGTCGGGGTGAGATACTATGCTAACCCTTAAAAGGGTCTGTTTTTTTACACCCCAACCATCAGCCGTCCATTTCATCCTAATTTTAAGGTTAGTATTCATGAAAGGGATTTTGTTTTTTTCAGAATTTTGTAAATTGGACAAGTTCCCATATTAATTACTCTTTTATGGGGAAGGAGTAAATCACGTTGGATGGGGAAAGCCAATTCAGCTCCTATATTCCCCTTCTTTCCTTCCAAAAAAATAGAAACCCAATCGTGAATTAGAATGTGTTATAAAAAAACGGAAATGTCAACAACAATAAAGTATCCAACCATTGTTACAAATAAACATGAAGTCTCTAAGAAATTGTTTGTGGGAATCCTAAACAATGGAAAATCAAGTATAGCCTTTCTCTCCTCTGAAACTCCACTTTTCGGAATTTGAATTATAGAGTTGGGGATCCACTTCTTGCCGCTAATATCATCAATATGTTTCCTCTTTCCCCTATCTTGTTGTGCTTATTCCGGCTCTCACGACACTGTTTCTTGCTGGTACCCTTACTTGAGAAAGGAGTCTGACCGACCCCAACTTCTACCTTGCTAGAAACATAGCTTGTAAGCCTCTTCCCTGTTGAAACTGCATGATACGATCTCTTCGTCCTTGCCATTCTTGCTGCCATTGGTAAACACAATAATCAGAATTGTCAGTTTAGTGATAGAAATATGAGATCAATAAGCAAGACAACTATCAATGTCGTGATATATCTCAGTGGTACATTTACAGTGGTACACAAAATACCGCCCTAATGGTAGAAATACAAGAACATTCAGATGATTAACTATCAATGTAGTGATAGACTGTAGTCATAGAAATAACACGACATTATCCAAGAATCAACTATCACTGGAGTGATACACTTCTGTACCAGAATCAACAATTTATACCACTCCAGTGATAGACATACCAGTACACAGGTAATGATACCACATAAAACATCCCGATCGAAACTCAAAAACACAGATCTGGGTTATGAAAAGACCATCGCACTAGTACTAATACCATACGAAAAACCCAGATATGAGTTTGAGAGAGAGAGAGAGAGAGAGATAATGGGGGAGAGAGATCTACCTCAAATTCTTTTTCGTCGTCTTCGCTGAAAAGGGGAGGAGGGCCAACGCAGAAGGGTAGGAGGGTCGTCGTCTTCGTCGGGAAGGTGAGGAGGGTCGTTGTCTTCTTCGTCAATCCCTTCGCGTTGACGATCGAAAACATAGACTATGGCGTGAAGCCGGAGGATGTCCGTCGATGGTCGTTGAGGAATCGTAACGGAGGTTGGAAGGGTGACGATTCCGTCGCGGGGAGGGCTTACGGCGGGGAGGGTTTTCGTTGACAGGTTATTGAAAGGGAGAGAGGAGGAGACGAGAGGGAGAGATAAAAGGGTGAGGGGGTAATTAATTTTGTATTGGCCTTGGGAACCATTTTTCCCTCGATACCCGATTTTTTCCCGTTTCAATGTAGGTTATAGAACAATAATTATGTGAAAACTGCTCAATAAATAGATGTTTAATCCTAACCATTTGTTTAACACTAATGAAAATGGATGGCATCTAAGTGGGGTGTCAAAAATCAGACCCCTTGTGAGGGTAGTCATGCTAACCGCTCCCCATTCCGTCACTTACGCTAAACTTCGGGCCAAACTAGGGTATTAACCATTAGTTATATAAGAGTGCATAAACGGTGGTTACGCAACCTATCTTAAACATGTAAGAAGTGGGGATTAGCATCATTAATTGAGTAGAAATCTATTATTGGCAAAGCCCCTTATATGTATTATCATTATGTTAACTATTATTATAATCACTCTAGGGAACTTCAAATAACGAATGAAGGGAGATCATGGAAATAAATAAAAGGCCATATTATTATGTCCATATATTTAATGCCCTCATAAATTGTTTCGTCTATGAAATGGAAAGTTCATGGTTTCCCTCAAACTTAGAAACTAGAAAATGAAAAGTACCAAAAACAGCTAACCATGAAAGAGGCCATGATTGGTGTTCATGAATCATGATACATAAACTAGTACTTTATCCGTGAAAAGTATTATTTTTCGATAGATTATTTGTGAAATATATATGGAATGGAAAATGCAAAATATTGCTCTTAAAAAAGAAGAATATACAATAATTGCACTTCTGGGAAAGGGAATGTCACCTTCATTATTTAAGTTTTTAATAATATTATTAAATTGAAAACCCCATTCATCCAATTTGTTGCATTTAAGGCGGTCTCCATAAAATCGTACCGTACCGACGGTTCAACCACAAAATACAAGTATTGGAGGTTAAATTGGTAGGCGATATTTAACGGTATAACGATTAAACTACGTTTAAACCACGATTTTACCATAAAATACTCTAACGTTGACTTTTCTGGTACGATCTCCGATACGGTTTCATGGACCATGATTTAAGGTGAAACTATCGGCATAAAATCAGACCAGATCATATAATTTTTTGAAAGTCACCAGATCATATAATGGACCCATAATAAAGTGAAAATCGGCCTTAAATTAAATCAAATTAAATTAAATGGAAACTCTGTCTAATTTATTTAATTTGCATTAAGGAAAACCAAAGGCAAACAAAGTAAGATGATTACAAGAGTGTATAAGCTATTAGATATTATTTTTGTGTTAACGGAGTTTAACGAATGAAAATAAAATTTTTAATTTTGTTAATGAGAAGTCAAAACTGGAATCAAATTATAAATCAATCATATCAAAATATTAAAAGGATCAAATTCTTTTTATTATGTAATGAACATTTTACATCCTTAATTACAATTAAGAAAAAATATTGTAAAAAATAAATATAGTGGCCCTTTATTTTCTAATGGGGAATGTACCTTTCATATGATCATATTCATATCCATGGGTGATCGGATTCTCCCTCAAAATGTGACCCCATCATTCAATTTCTTCTTTCACTTTCTTTTATTCAATTAAATGTCTCTAATTATTATTTTATTGGGAGATGTAAATCTCAATAGTGACCTTCACGTTGGCCTCTAATTTTCTGATATTTCGGATCATCACATGACCATTTCCTCAACTTCCTCAAATGAAAACTCCATAAAACAAAGAAAGTTCCAGTCTTTCACTTCCTTATAATATCATCTATCTTTAGCTCTTAATCCTCTTTCCCCATTTCTCTTGATCAATTTTCCCTCACCGTTTCTCTGTTCTTCTTGCTCTGTGTTTACCCATTCAAACCAATACAACCAAGCTAGGATCTTTTATTTCTTTTTTCGTTCTTTAATCCTTTTCTTTTCCATGCCCTTTTGCTCCCTTTAGTGGGTCTTTGTTTTCTTGGGTGTCTCATTCGTCCAAAAAATCACTAAAGACACGAACTTTCTCCACCTTTTCCCTAATTTCCCCCAATTTTGCCCGTTTTCTCCCATCTGGGTTCCTCTCTTTTCGACACAAAGATGGTGTCTTTCTCGAAAGATAAGCCTTCCCTTCTGCTCATTTCCTTCGTCCGTCCCTAAAGAGATCCCAGTTTCTTCTCTGTTTGAAGGGGTTTGAAGGGACCTAAAGGGTTTTCTTTTACTTTTGCGTTTTGGTTTATTTGTCCATGAGTTGATGTCTTTGGCTGTGTCGAGTTCAAGTAATATGGGTTTGGATGGCAACAACCAGAATGAAGAGATTGACAAGCAGCATGAAGATGAAGGTGTAGAGAAGATTTCAAAGCACATGAGCCAATCTTCCTTAGATGGAGGTGGTGGTGGTGACGACGATGAAGACGATGATGAAGTTGCCAATAAGCTTGAGCTTGGTCCTCAGTATACTCTCAAGGAACAGCTCGAGAAAGATAAGGTTTGTTCAGAAAAGAAAGCAGTTTTTTGCTTTGAGTTTGAATTTGTGTAGCTGATTTTTTAATTTGTCAAAAATTGTTTGATTTTGTATGTTCAGGATGACGAGAGCCTCAGGAAGTGGAAGGAACAGCTCCTCGGAAGTGTGGATTTTGAGAATATTGGAGGTAATTATTTGTGTTTAATAACTGTGGGTTGGAATTGGAGTTGTAATTAAGGGTCTTGGTTACTGGTTTTTGAGGACTGAAAGAATGGTTGAGATGTGATCTGTTCCCATCATTCAACGTTATACATTGATGGTTTAGCTACTGAGTTTTTACCTTACTGCATTAATTGGGTCCATACTTTTAGGTAAGAAGTTAAAGCTCCAAATGATCCAAGATGTGACGCTCATGTCTGAATTTCAGTCTTACATGTTAAGGTTGGGAGCTCCTTAGGAAAGTTCTAATGGGTAGACTTTACCTTTGTATTTGACATTAAATGGGTTAGCTGTGTCTAGTTTAAGAAATCCATGTAAGGGAAGAAGGGAATGACGTTCAAATGGTAAGCCAATTGTTCATCATTGTATAAACGAAACTGCCTTGTTGATTTTCGGTCGTAAGAGGACATCGTTCTGTTCTGCAATGACTAGTGGATGCCTACTGTAGTTAAATTGAATTCTATCTGTTCTGTTGGTTGTTTGCAGAAACGCTGGAGCCGGAAGTGAAAATTCTCAGCCTATCGATTGTTTCGCCTGATAGAGCTGATATCGTGCTGTCTATCCCCGAGGATGGGAAGCCAAAAGGTTCTTGGTTTACTTTGAAGGAAGGAAGCCAATACAAGTTGAAGTTTGCCTTCCAAGTCAGCAACAACATTGTATCTGGTCTCAGGTACACCAACACTGTCTGGAAAACTGGTGTCAAGGGTAAGTGTGGCATCTCCATTCCTAACTGAGTTCCTTTGCAAATCATTTCTTAGACAAGTTGGAACTTATAGTAGGTTGCCTTGTGAACCCTTAATAGTATTTGAACTATGGATCAGAATGTGATTCTTATAGCTTGAGGTCTTATTGCAGTTGATGGCACAAAGGAGATGCTGGGTACCTTTAGTCCTCAGCCGGAACCTTACATACATGAGATGCCAGAAGAGTCCACCCCATCTGGCATGTTCGCTAGGGGATCATATTCTGCAAAATCAAAGGTTGGTTCTTCTCATCGAGTCATTGTTGTATTGTATCCTGAATGTGCAGAGGTTTCCCCTATTATGGACTTACCCAACGCTCGTAAATAAGTAACTATGGTTTTATACATCTTGAACATTTTGAGCATAGTATATATTGCATTCAAGTGTTATCCAATCTCTTTATTTGATAACCATGTGAACTTTAGCAGCTTCTAGTTAGAAGGGAAAGCATTAAATCATTGAATTGGCATTATTACCTGCTCTGGAGTTCCTTAATCATTGCTGAACCAATTATAATGGTTTTTGCAAATAAGGCACCATGACAAAACTGGATTTACAAATAGTTATCAAAATAGACCCACACCAACCCTTCTCAATCAATCATCACCATGTGAAATAACTGTCTGCCTGTGTTGTACATTGTGGTCCAATTTCTCACTGAACCTAGTTGGTTCTTGTTGCAGATTAGTACAGACCATAACTTATCATTATATTGTTGAATTTGAAACTCCATCGTTGATCTCTTGTATGTACTTTGATGCATCGCAGTTTGTCGATGATGATAACAAATGCTACTTGGAGATTAATTACACGTTCGACATCAGGAAAGAATGGGCACCCACCAGCTGAACCAGAAGTAGTGTTTTCCCCTCTTTACAAAGCGAAAGATCGCCCTCGTCCTCAATGATCCCTCTCCTTTGCCCGGCTAACATTTCTGGTTCCTAGTTTTTTTTTTTTTTTTTTTTTTTTTGAGATTTCTCTCCCTCCCTCCTCCCTTCTCCGATTTCCTTTTCCTTTATTGATTTGGATCCATGCACCTTAAGTTCATTGTTCTGTTTTTTCCCCCCTGCAATAGAGAGACGGAAAGAAATTGTTTCACAATGACCATTAATAAAGGGAACTGTTCTGAAGTTCTGGCTTCCAAAATTCTAACCTTTCTTGGTTTCACTTGTGGAAACATCAAAATGAAGGCCAGAACCAGCATCCCTTTGATAAATGGTACATTTATTCTTGATCTTCTTGGTGTTGTGTTAGATTAGGTATTCCACAGGTCAGCAAAAAAGAAAGGTGCATGGCTAGACTGCTTGAAGATGAATAGATCAGGAATTTGTGGAATTGGTTTTCTTTTATTTGGATATTGGACTCCCATACCTCACTGTTTCCTTGTTTTTCTTTATTTTCGGAATGGTATTCTATATTATTTCATAAGTTTTAGGCCGGATCAGGCAAAGCCCAGCCTGACCGACAATCCAGCAAACTAGGTTGCTGAAGAGCCCAAAAGCTCGTTCCCTGTCCAGTTAGCAAACCAGGCCTCCAACAGGATGAAAGCAACAGTGACAGATGTCTGCATAAGAGAAAGGATGAATTGAACCAAGATGCATAATTTCGTTTGCTAAAGAAAAATTGCACAAGTTATTTGGTCCATTCAAAAGTCCCAAATGACTATCAAGCCATTTTCAAAATTTTCCATTCCATGAGTCATCTTCAAATGACTCATTCTTTAGTGTCCAAATTTTCCAACTATATCCTTACCTCTTTTATGTAAACTCATTTCTATCCTTCACTATCTATGATTTGTTTTTCATGTCATTGCTTCCTCTCTTTGCAAAATTATCTTTTTCTTTCTCACAAGTTTTATAAATGACGAAAATGATCATCTATCTAGTGGCGCATCTTTATCATTCATAACACCACCATTTGTAATTAGCTTAAAATTTTGAGACTTAGGAAGGACATTGTCTTTTATGGAGAAAGTTAACATAAAATTATTGTTTAAAATTAGCAATAAATCACCGTCAACCCATTCAAATTGGCCAAAACAATTGGCGTCCATCCTGGAGCCACTAACTTGTTTTGAGACTTATGAATTGGCAAAAACAATTAGCCAGACCAACATCTCATAGTCCGGGGATGTGATGTGCAACTTCCAAACCGTCATCCTGCCCCTCCAGGACGGCAAAGCAGGTATAAAATGCCACCTAAACTCTTTTGTCTCTCGTCCATGTTTTGACGCTTCCTTGCGTAAGGCCTTCCCCTCAACCTTTTCTTCCAGCTGTCGTAACCAAAGCAGACAAAATTGAGATTTAACGTATAATAAAAAAATGGGGTAAAATCGAAATTGTAATATCGAAACGTAAACTCGTAGGATTTTAGGTTCATATAAAAACAAACACATAATGATATTAATAAGGTATATCATGAATAACAAGAAAATGCATAACACTTACAATGATAATTACTCAAGGTTCATTTAAACTTATCAAGGTTGCCATTGGAAAGTGATGAATCGGTGATGTTTCCTGTGTTGATATGAATTGATGATGATTAGATGGTCGATGGTGGCTAGTGAGAGAGAACTAGATAATGTTGATGGAGGAGAAGGAAAAAAGGCGTTATACTTTACCAATTTGGGGGGAACTAAGTAAAACCGACTAAAAGATTTGATCTTATTCCTTTAACTCGGTTTGAATTGCTCCAAATAAAATCAATTCAACATAGACCATGAAAATTTAAGTATTAAGCACCATAGAAACACATACGATAGACTTAGTGGGCATGTTAATAATGATGGAAAAGTCTTCCGCTTTTCAGAGTTTAACCTCGTGTACGCTTTCTATTCTAAAAGATACAACAAATTCATTTATTGTAATTGGTAATGATTGTTGTATTTGTTTAAAGAGACTCGAGTTCAAATCTTGATATTGATATTTTTTATATGAAATAATTAAATAATTGTAAGGACAAAAATATCATTCCTACTTTTAGTCTCGTTGCAGAAATTTGAAAATAAAAAATATACAAATTTCACCTTACAAGAATGGAGGATTCGGTTTTGACAAAAGTAAAAAAAAAAAAAACATTCGATAAACCGCCATATACCCACCGCCATTGGTAACTTAAGCAAGGATCACCAGATCTCCATCGAAAGGGCAATACCATCTTCTCTTCTGACAACAACTTCCCATCCTCTTCTCTTCTCCACGGGAAGCCACAGCTCGCTGCTTCTCCATACAAGCATTAACGGCTACTCATTTCTATACTTCACTTCTTTCTTTCAAAAAATCCTCCTTTTCTTGAGCCAAAATTCATTTTTGTAACATGATTTCAACGTAGTACTTTAGGAAAAACTAATATTAGATCCATTAAAAAAAATATCTTGTCTAACTTAAAGTTACTATCACGATAAGGTTTCAACATATTATTAGACTTTTCATAACTGAATGTCACATTTTTTTTGTTGGTTTATAAAGCTGGATGTTTGGCCCTAACCTTTATTAATAATCACTCTGGAATTGGAGGTTCCAAAAGTGTCCAAAGAGAGCATTTTGTCCAGTAACTGCAACATAGATGTAGTTTGGAGTGGATGATCGATTTTATCTAAGTTTAAGTACGACATGTTGATGCATTACATTTGATTGATGAACTTTTGTTTGAGTAGACTGACAGACTGTGTAAAAGTGAAATCAAATTTGAATGCTCTCACTGATTTGAATTATTGGAGCAGATTGAATCTCGACAATCTATTAGTTAAGACTAAAAAGTAAGTCATTTATTTGCTAACATTGTCTGCACGAGGATTAGGGATATAATTAACTATGTTTATCGTATGACCTAAGATATAGGATGATATTAGCTATGTTGATTACGAGGATATGGGAAATTGTTTGGTTTAAGCACTTCACAGCCCCTAATCGAAGTCAATTGTTTGGTTTGAAGATTAAATTAGGATCACATCGTAGCACTAGCACCATGACCGCGAGCTTCTATGGCGTACTTCAGGATCACATGTGCTCACTGACAATTTACAGCTGTGGATGAAATATAGCATAGTAAAACTAATAAACTATTATGATTCTCTCTATAATAAATAATAATTTGTTGTAATCTTATGATCAAGTTGGTGGGAATTTTATTATTGATGAAACTGATATAGTTGGGTATGATGTTATGGTCATTAAGGGATTAATTAGTCTGTAGATTAAGGGATGAAAAGATAAAATAAACAATCGGGTAAATTGCAATGTTGGTCACTGAGATTGCTAAAAAAACTCACGTTTGGTTACTAAAAATATTTAATTCTATTTATGGTCATTAAAATTAGATAAATTTTAAATTTGGTCACTCTCCATCCAACTCCATTGACTTCTACTTACATGACGGTTAACTTTAAAAGTTAACTGTTAAATGTGTGAAATGACAATTAAAATAATAAATTAAATAGAATTTATTTTTTTCAAATTTCCACCTCATTTCTAGGGAGGTCAACCATCGATAACAATCACACAGCCAGCCGTGGGTCGCCGCCGGTGAGGTCAACCGGCCTCTCCAACAGTCACCGTCCGACATCCTCCTCTCACTCCTTCCTCGGCAGGAAGATCCGTTTCCCGAAGATGATCTCATATCTGGTGAGCAGCTCGTACTCGTAATCATCGCTTCTTCCTCCGCCGCCCTTCGATTCCCAGAGCTCATGTTTCGGAAACCCATCGTATTGGGCCAGGATAGTGATCCACCTGTCGAGCCCATATCCGAACCATGTAAAGCTCAGCCTGTCGCCAACATGGTCGTAGGTTTCACTACTCCGATGGGAACTAGGAGACTTGGTAGGGTTCCTTGTACTAGCTATTGCAAACATATATATATATATATATATATGGCAAAGGCTAGCGTACGACTGGACGTACCCTAGCCTACCGTACGCCCGTTGACTTTTGCTATTTAGACAATGAATTAACCGGAGTTTGAGGCATGATACTATACCCTAACCCTTAATGGGTTAACCCTAGTCTGCAATTCACTAACCCAAAGCATAATATTCATTTAATCTTGAAATGAAAATCAACGGTTCTGATTCGTCGAAATTATGGTTAATTTTCATTTTAAGATTAAACGAATCTCATGATTTGGGTTAGAAAACTAGGGACTGGGGTTTATCCATTAGTGGTTAGGGTATATTATCATGCCCAAACTCTAGTTAATTCATGATCTAAATTGCAAAACTCAAACGGGCGTACGGTAGTCTAACGTACGTCCAGGCGTACGCTAGCCTGAACCTATATATATATAAGGCTTCTGGCCGTGTACACCTATCAATAATATCAGCAATAACATAAACTGGAGAGCTTCAACTCTGCCGTGGATTAGTCCTGAACGTCATTCGTTCAGGGATACCACGTAAAATCGTGTGTTCGTCTGATTTCATTATCATAATTTTCATGGTATCAGAGCGTCAGGTCCAGTGATTGTAGCTTCGTTGTCATCATGACTGGAGGTGCAGACGACAAGAAGGTTGCAGCGTTCCCAAGCGGCGACAGTCATGGCAAAGGTGTTGCCACCGCTAGCTTGGATGCTTCTGCTGTCTTCTATCTCCATCCGTCCGATAGCAATAGTCAGTTGCAGGTTGGTGATCTCCTCACGACTACAAATTATTCTGAATGGGTCATTGATGTCAACGATGCCCTAATAGTGAAGAACAAGTTTGGCTTCTGTGATGGGACCATTGTAAAACCCACCGCTGAACCTGAACTTAGTGTATGGATTCGCTGTGATGCCCATGTCAAGGGCTGGTTGCGTATGTCCATGAGCAAAGAGATCCGGAGTAGTGTTCGTTATGCTAAAACGGCGAGAGAAATATGGGTTGATTTGAAGGAACGTTTCAGTCATGGAAGCCTCACTCGAGGGTATGAGCTTCATCGCCTTATCTCGGCCCTATTGCAAGAGAAGTTGTTCGTTTCCTCGTTCTATACTCAATTGCGCATGTTGTGGGAAGGGGTGCAGTCGATTTCCCCATCAGAGGTGTGTACGTGTGGGCTGTGTACCTGCGGACTTGAGCAACGCATTCGATCGAAAGAAGAAACAACCCGCTTATTCGACTTCTTGATGGGACTTGATGAGAGCTTCAACACAGTTTGGAGCCACATCCTCTCCATGAGACCGGCTCCATCATTAGCTGAAGCATATAATATCGTCTCCAATGATGAACATCATCATCTGCTCGCTCAAAAGCGTCGTCCAATGTCGGAAGCGGCAGTGTTCGCTGCAAAGAAGGATGAACGTCCTCGTGGTAATGGTGAGAGGCCTAGTGGTCCACGCAATAGTGAAGGTCGTCCCATATGT